TTTTTTTAAAAAAAAAAAAAAAAAAAAAAACTCAACAGAACACTTTTCACTGACGATCGGCCCAGGCCCATTACACTCGGCCTTATGTTGGGCCTGGTCGTGCATGGGTTGTCGTTTAGAAGAAATTCGATGTCGTTTAATGAAAAAGAATTTGTATTTCTTGTTGAAGCGGAAAAGTTAAAACTATACGAGTTCACGGCCTCCATCTCCCTCAATCTCTAAACCCTCAATTGGATCCAAACCGCCATTGACGACCTGCTCTCGAACTCCGTCGAATCTCGATCTCAGAAGGTATTCTCGAATCTTCTCTTTTCTCCAGTACTCTCTCTCGCTTTCTGATCCGTCTTCTCGTCGAAGTATTCACCCTTTGTTCATCCGCGAGAGAGAAGATCTTGTGAATTTATCACTGTTTCTGTACTGGTTGTTTGGTGCTACTTGTGTAGAGAAACTGAATTTATTGTTCTCTCGGCATTTAACTCTGTGTGAAGAGAGAGAATTTTGAAGAAATTTTTGTCATTCTCTTTCTTAGGGTTTCGTTTTCCACTCTGACATGCTCGCTCTCTGCTAGGGTTTATATCCAATTATCGATCTAACGGCCCGGATCCTTGAATTGAAGTGAAAAATGGTAAGATTCATTTTTCAAGAATTTTTTAATCTCTCTGCGTTTTGGAGTTTTGTGTTCGAATTTAGAGTAGAATTGAAGTTTGAAGCTGTTTTCTTTCTTGGAATTTGTGAAACTTTCAGGAAGGAGGAGGCAATTTGGAGGCGTCGGTAGAGAAATTGCTGAATGTGGAGAAGCAAATGAGGCTTGCCGGAGATGTGGCGGGCACAAAGAAGGCCGTCACTGAGATTCTTCAGCTCTGCTTTGAAGCACGCGCATGGAAGACCCTCAATGAGCAGATTGCTGTCTTGTCCAAACGCCGGGGTCAACTTAAGCAGGTACTTCATTGAAATGGAACATATAGTAGTGTTATAGGTGGAGTAACTTTGTGTTTTTAGAGA